CACACAGACACACACAAACACACACGTCATCTTTAGAGGCTCAAACAACTGTATTTTTTTAATCCTTGGATTAAAACCCTTTGCTAACAATAAGTGCCTGAAGACATGCACGTCACCAAATACTGTATTCATTGTCTTGAGATTAAAATATGCAACTTCCTTCCATTCTGCCTTTTACTGCAGCCACTTTCAGTTCCTGCTTATCTGCGTTAACCTTTAGTGTCATGACGATCCACACATTTGTTATTAGGAAATGTTTTTTCTGTGTAAGTCCAGGGGCAAATACATCTGTTCTGTTAACTAAAGGAAGCGTTGATTACATCTAAGAGCTCTGAAAGTGAGGAAGCACTTGTAAGAGCTGGTTGAACTCTTGAACCTAAGCTTTGTTCATTTTTTTCCTGTTTTTTTTCCTTAACCTTTATGTGCAAGTCTGTCAAAATATTCCCAGTAATTTAATTCCAGCAGAATATTTGATGCACTGCTGCCCTCACATGCATTTTAGTTACTTTTAGTTCATTATTAGGCTGTTCAGGGGTTAAAGTTGGCAGTGCTGTATGCTGTTGATTATCTCAAAATACAGCTCCATCTCCTAGAAGAAAAGCCTTACAGCTGGTGGGCCTGCTCCACATGTTTTTGGAAAAGGTGCTTTGAAACCATCACATGTGTGTTTACGTATGATTAATTCTGTTAAAAAACTCCAATAGAGTGGAGACTGTAGTGGGGGCGTTATATCTGAGATCTGCAATAAAGTTTCATTTTGAAATCTGCCTCTTCGAGGAAGATCTCTATCTTTAGGAATTTTCAAAAAGATTTTCTGCCACAGTGCTGAACTTTCCTTTGTAATATACTCAAATGTCAAATGTCGATTTAGTCACTTTATTAGGTTGTGCAAAAGATGATTGTTAGACAGCTTGTTCATTATCAAGATGCAGAACCGGAAACAGGGAAATGGCCAGACTACCACAAAGTGTGAGACGACGTTTATTCGAGTTTAGCTGCAGACGGAATTTGACAAATATGCTTGAATAGAAACAAATCTGGATATACCACATTTTCCTAAACACATATTTAGTAGTAACACAAGAATAAGCTTGCATAATGGAGACATTTAATTTTGAAGCAGAGTGCGGTGCACATATATCATGCAGTTTTAATTTTGAAGCAACACTTTGCAGACTCATTCGCACATCACTTCACACTTAGGTAAAAAAACAGAGTCAAAGAAATACACATTGGTTTGATCGTGCAAGAAACAGCGTCTTGGACAAAACAGTATCTTAGCACTGATTACAACACAAACTATCAGTTTCTACAGAGTTTCTGTTACTTAAATGAAACCTTTTCATCAAAGAAACAAACACAGCTTGTTTTTGAAACAGACGGCAGATTTCACCACTGCTTCTTCCTGTGTGAAAGATAATATCAGACTGAGACTTTTTTTTCTCCACTACTACGTAGAATAAGGCAAAAATATTTACTGGACAGCCTCAGAATAATGTGCATAATATCACATCAACACTGGATTTTTAAATGTTTTTTTATTCTTAACGAACAAACACACTAAAGCGTCATTAGAACATGTACAGCAACAATATTTTTGTGAATCCTCAAAGCACAAAACCTGTCAAACTAACATTTCTATACCACTTTTATACAGTTTTATTAAACACTTACAGTGATTTACAGCACAAGTTAACATGAATATCTGTGGGAGAAAGCCAGTGTGTCCAGAGGAAACCCTGGCAGACAAGGCAAGCTCCACACAGGAAGGCCCCGACTGTCTTTCTCAGAACTCTCTTGCTATATGACAGTGCTAACCATGTTATCTGATTCTTTTTTTAACTTGAACACCTGCGTTCTTTTTCTCTGAATGTTGCACTGCTTAGATTCAGTAATCAATATTCATGCTGAAATATTACTTCAAAAGTTACACCATACATTACACCACGAGACATCCAGGTGAGGCACTGAACTGACTATTTTATTTCAAATCTGGTAGCAACATTGTTACTAATGAACCAAGTTCATTTTGGGTATTGTTTGGAAATTCTAGTAATAGAATGGAATGAGTTAAACTGAGAAATACTAACCAGTTATTTAGAAAACAAAACCAAAGGAAAGGAAACAGCTGAACTGGCTGTGTGAAATGCTAACATCCAGAAACACCTGCATATTACTATTTTCACCACCAGATTTCGTTCTACACAGATGTTTTCTCCTGTTTGCTATCTTATCTTAAGCCAAGCGATGCTGCTTTCTGCTACCTTTTCAATCTCAGCAAAAGAAAGAAAAAGACAATTCGCTCCCCCGATATCTGTTCCTGGAAATTCACACGACTTGCAAAAGCAGTTATGGAGTAAAAAAATGTGACACGCCTAGTTATTACTTTCTCTGAATTTGCTATTTAGGGATGATGGTGTATGCATCAACGTACTTTCTGGATCTTTAGTACATTGCACTTTGAGGACATTTGACCAGTTGAAGATGCATTTTAAAAAATGACCACCACCTGAGCCTGTAAATAATCATCCATCAGGGCTTTTTTACATTGTGACTGAGGTGTTTCTGGATCTTAAGCTGCCTACACTGCCAGCAGAGCCCTTCCTGTAAGCCATCTGGAGCCTCTTGCTGATGAGGCCGTGTCTGTAAAGAGCTGAGAGCAGCTGGTTACGGAACTTCTGCCCAACAAAGGCGTACAGCACCGGATTCACTGCACAGTGCATGAAGGCCAGAATTTCGGTGACACTCAGCATGGCAATCACTGTGTAATGAGTTTCACATGTAGTCAGTTCCAGAGATCCTCCCTGTATGAGTGTGTCAATCAGTACAGTGACATTATAAGGCAGCCAGCACAGAATGAATGCCAGCACAATGGCCAAGATGACACGCATAGCTTTGTGCTTTTGTTGGTTGCGTGTGTGAAACAAAGTCACCACAGTCCAGCCATAGCAGACAGCCATGACCACCAGAGGCAGGAAGAAGCCCAGTGTATGCCGCAGAACGCGTAGAGTCACTCGCCAGCGATCGCTGCTTTCACCAGTAACGTTTTCAAAGCAAATGGACACTCCAAATTCAGTATCTATGCTCTCCCTCTTAATCACCACAGGTAAGGACAACATTACAGCCACCAGCCACACAATACTGCAAATAACTTTGACCAACAGGTGATGGGAGGACAGGACCCGCGTAGCTCTGACAATGGCAAAGTATCTGTCCACACTGATGCATGCCAGCAGGAATACGCCACTGTATGCAGATGCCTCCTGAAAGCCTGAGAGGAGTTTGCACAGGAAGTTTCCAAAGATCCAGCCAGCGTTACATTTCACAGCCCAGAACGGCAGGGTAAGACAGAAGAGCAGGTCTGCAATCGCCAGGTGCATCAGGTAGATGTCAGTGCTGGTTTTACTTTTCTTCATATTGAAAACGACAAAGACAACAACGCTGTTACCTACGATGGCGAAAACAAACACGATAATGTAGACGATGGTCATCCCCATGTTGTTAAATCCAGGCACTGTTTTATTGCAAGGAGAAGATTCTGAAAAATTTTCTTCATCCTCGCCATAACTGTAATTTAAAGTGAGATTCTCAATATCGGTGAAGACCTGCAGGGGGGCAAAACATAACAATGTGTTAATACTACGATACAGGTAGAAATAGTACAGCGCAAAGTAGATGGTGCAATATTACCCCCAACTATTTTAGTCGGTAGTACTAAGATGGAGACAAGTTAACAATAAAACAGCACGTTGCAGTCATCATTGTGTCAGAATATTTAGAAATAAAATTTGCAAGAAAACCATTTCTTAGTCTAGCACACATCCATAGTCCCCTTTTCTTTTGCTCACATTCACAACAAGTGCACGAATGTCAAAGATATCGACTGATTACCTCTGATCCTTTCACAGCTTGATTGGTGAGAACAAAACACTTCAAAACAAAAAGTATGAAACGTTGTTCCATCGTTTCTTTGTGATGTGCACAAGTTGAACACTTTGTCAGGAGTGTTGTTTTTGCTCAGAGATGTGGTTAAAGTCCTTGTGAAATGGTTGTGCAGAGCTGTGTTGCTGGTGCTTTATTAGCAAATTGTTCAGCTCAAGGGAAGTGGGCAAACCCACACACACTATCTGCCTGTGGCGATCTACATGAATAAGATGACAACAGGTTGTCTTCTAAACCATTTTGACAGATCTCTCAGGTAAATGTCAGACAGGAAACATTATACCAGTGAGGCACTTTATGTAAAAGTCACTTTGTCTAATTTGATCCTTTGGCAGAAAATGTAGATAATTTAAACTTTAAACTGTTTTTTTTCTTATTATTATTTCTTTATTTTTTTAATTTGCACGTGCAAAATACATGTCTAATACATGTCTACATTACTACAGTCACCAGAGCCCCATCAGATAAGGAGCTCAGTTTCCATTTTAGTGCTACCTTTCACTCCATGTTGCATTTAACCATCAAAGTTCAAAATTGTTCATTTGGGTTTTTTTTCCCACAAAATGGAAACTTATCATTGCCTCTGTTTTATTGTGTAACGTGTTTTTATCAGAGAAAACGCTTTGTTTGGAATTCCTTGTTAGAAGTTTCAAACAAGGGCAAAAAAACCCTCTAAACTTAGTATTTCCTGTTTGATGCTTAGTTACCGTGTACATGTCTGCGGCCTTGGGAATCGTCTTATTTTGTTATGCACATCTTTCACCTTTACTTCACTGGAAATGAAGTTTTCTTCTTTCTTCTTTTTCCACACATTGGTACATGAGTATACACGTAATACTGTGAATATGCAAAAACTATGTAAATGTAGAACTGCTGCAATATTGCTTTATATTGATTTGCCAATTTACTAAGAATTCAGGGGGATGTCAAATGACACACAAGTTTTGCATTTGCGTGGTTGAATTTATTGAATTTTCATGTAATATGCAATCCAACCCCAGAAATAAAACCTCTAACCCAAGACTTCCTGTCTTAACTTTCAGTATCTAATATGGACAACAAAAAACAAGTTGAGCGCCTGATATGGTCTAATGAGAGTCTGTGAAGTCTTCAAATGTTTTACATCCAGAATCTCCTCTATAGATTCTGGAGCATTATTCATCATCATCATCATCATCATCATCTAAAACTTAACATTTGGAGTGTGTTTTTGATAAGTTGTCATTATACAGTAGTTTTGAACTGGTGGGCTTTTTAAAATTTTGACCTTTTCATCAGTAGGGGGCAGCACTTATCTGTGTTCAGAGAATAGATCATGTGCTTTCAAACTCTTAGGATAGATACTTTATTTATCCCCAAGTTGAAATTCAAACATCCGGCTGCTCCATCCAGGCACAAACATCTCTCCAGTCATAACCATAAATAAATAAACTAAAAAAAAATAATGTTTAAAAGGACTTGAGTCTGACATTGTCCATTATAGATTTCAGTTTGTTCAGTGGCTTTTTTCACCAGCTTGCCCAGTTGCTTAGTGTTTTTGTCCATTAAGCTGGGCCCCACCACACAGCATCATTAAAACAGAGCACTGGCCACCACATTATGATCAAATGCATATTCAGTATCTCATCACACACCAAAGAACCTCAGCAGCTGCAAGAAGACGAGGTGGCACTGCCCCTTCTTGTAAAGAGAATCAGTACTCTTGGGCCCAGTCAAGCTTGTCTTTCAATAGGACCCTCAGATATTTATAAGAGTACACCACCTCAGTGTCCTGCCCATGTATGGAGACTGATGATTGGAATGGCCTAGATCTTCTAAAAGCCATCACTATCTCCTTGGTTTTAGCTGTATTGAGGAGGGGGCAGCTCCTACTGCACCAGTCCCTGAAGGTTTCTACAAAGTTCCCTGTTTTCCTGCCCCTATCGACTCCTGACATGCAGCATCATGCAGTTGCATTTTGAGTTGTACAGTATTTAAAATCTGCAGTATAGGAATAGCAACAAGGCTTCGGAACAGAGATAGTACTTTTTCTTATGTATATAGTCTATGCCTATTCATGCATCGTATAGTTACATTCTCAAAATTGTAGAATGAATAAAACATTAATACCTGCACCTTCTTCACCAAAGAACACAAAGGAAGAGATAACACTCCTGGCATTTTAAGAAAATGTGATTCTGTTCCTTTTTTGACCTTTAAATGGAACATCTGATCCACAGATACATGACTAGTGAGAGACCTCTAGCCACTCAGGAGTATCACTGTTAAACCATGCTTTTGTGGTTCTTACACAAAGTGACCACATGAAAGGAAAGTCGAATGAGAGTTTGAATAATAGCACTGTTATCTAGGAGGCCCATCCCACCACAGATGTTCCTCGAGTGTTCTGACATCACCACCATAGAGCTCATTCACTTGTGAATCCTCATGACCCTTGACCACCCTTTTATCTACTCAGCACATACTAAATGTAAACACTTCCCATAATAACCCTGCTGTGTCAATTTAAAGACTTTCTCCACCTGTAGGACCACATGCTGGTCTAATCAGCAGATTCTAGTCTGAAACACTGACCACAAAACCCAACAGATGCCCAGAGAAGATAGTTAAACAATCTTGCATTTACAGTGGTTAAAACTGTAAAACCTTTCAGTACATCCTTTGGCAATAGGGATATATTTTTCTGCCGTGCATTATAGAACTTCATCTGCAAGAACTTGACATGACAACGTAGAAAACAAGGCCTCTCTTAGTTACATCAAACACTTCCAGGCATATAAACACTGAGACTGAGCACAGAGAGGAGGTACAACACCAGGTGGACTGGTGTCAGAATAACAACCTGCCTGTAAATGTTCAGAAGACTAAAGAGATGGCTGTTAACTTCAGGAAGAGCTTAATGGCCCACACTCCACTGCACATCAACAGTCTGCTGTTGAGATGGTCCACAGTGTGAAGTTCCTGGGTGTGCACATATCAGATGACTCCTCCTGAAACCTGAACACCACCACCATCACGAAGAAAG